TTAAGTAGGTTCTTTCTCTCAGTTACATCTTGCTTTCAAGAAAATGCTGATTGGTTGCTCAAGGTGGGTCCTTAGCAGATCCCACAAGGCCAAGGGTTGGCTTAGAATCAAATTTCACAAATATTAGAGACAAGAACTAGCTCTTTGGGTGCCAATAAGGATGCAAAATAAAATGTCAAATTAGTTACATGGAATCTATCTGCCCATTTGGTGACCCACGTTTCTGCATTATTTTGACTATTATTAGTTAAACCCTGGTTTAACTAATTAAACCAAGTTTTTCTACAACCATTTCCGTAGCACATGAATAAAAATCTTGATACTAATCAGCAATACAATATCTGAAGCCTCTAAAATACCCTTGGATCATTGAGTTATCGTATTTTAAACATAGTATTTTTAATATTTCCAGGATAAAGGTACTTTAGATCTACCAAAACTCTTACTGGGGTAAAATAGCTATTTGAGGACTCAGACTTTTCATTGGTCCATGAAAAGCAAGATAGGTAAACAAGGAGATAAGAGAGGTATGAGTCAAGAATTGTTGAACTACTATTTTCAACAGGCGCAAAGTATCAGGACCATATGTTAAGCCGCAGTACAGAAGATTTATTGCTCAAGCTTATACACAAGAATCTAGTCAACTAAAGTTCAGTACTAAATTGGCACCAGATAAGGGTCAACAGAATCCAAGACAGATTGGATTTAGACTGTTTATGGGAATGTAACGATTCTAAGCTTATGACATACTTAATTCCGCCCACCAGCTCTGACTGCTCTTCTCCTAGAAATGGCCAAGATAGCGGTGAAGTGCATTTCAGAAACATTTGGAGGGCCACAAGTCTCCACCCTTAAGAAGTAGACTATCAAAGGACAAATAAAGTTTAGAAATATCTGAGGATATCAGGCTTCAATGCATTTCAATGGGTTATTGTTTGTTTCCATTTTCAGAATCAGCTAGAGAGATTAGACCCTAAATCTACCCCTGGCCTTCTTCAGATGCTTTGAAGTTCAGATTTCGGATATCTGAAGTTCAGATATCCAGGATTAAATATTTTCAAAGTCTAATACTTTTGGTCAGCATAAGAATGGGGGGAAAAAAACCTGCTCTGTGTAATTCTAATTCTGGATTCACTGATATAGCCAACAACTGCGGGAAACAAAAATGCCCCTGGGAATGACATTATGTCCTGATGTAGTGTCATTCCCACTGAGACATTCTCAGTCAGGAATGTCCCCAAGCTGCCATTAGTTGCAGTTCCACTGTCTCTGAAGTAGTGGAAAGCACTCTTTAAAAAGCAGTTAAAAAGAAAACAGTACAACCCACTTAATGATAACCCCCCCTTCCTTCCAAATTAACGCTTTTTCTACTACCCTGGAATATCAGTCCCCAAAAAAAATTTTTTTGGGAAGAATGCAATAAATAAATAAATAAATAACCCAGGAGTCATTTTTTTTCTTTTCAGGAATTGTTAAAAAAAAAAAAAAAAGCTCCGGCTACTAGGCATTTAAAATAAACAAGGAAATTAAATAAAAAGAACACAAAAGCACACAACTGAACGATTAATTTAGCCAAGAGCTACAATACAGAATCTGGGGCTAGCTAGATGAACCAAACTAGACTGGGTTAATTGTAAAACAACTTTCATTGCTCACTGAGTTATCTCCCTTTTACATTCGCAAGCATACCTTCTTGTTTTTAAATAGAAATAGAAAACGGACAGGCGTGCATTTTATTTTCATCACTCCCTTGTCACGAGATGTCGCAAACTGCAAAAACGAAAGAAAAAAAAAACTTTTCTGAAAAGAAAAAGAAAAAAAAAAAGACATCCTTCCGAGAAATGATCTCAGTGTAGAATTTAAACGACTCCTTAATTCAAGAGACTGATAGCCAAGGGGGGAAAATGTTTCGATAAACGCTGATTTACTCACACAGTGTCCCAGATATATACTGAAAACTACCTATAGCCAGCCTGCACAGGGAGGTGAGCATTTATCAGTAATTGGGCATGTTTAAACAAGCATAAAAGGAACTGAATAAGTAACGAGATTATTGCTGTGCCCCTGAAGACTGTAACAAAGGAAACAGAATCACGCTTAGTGCACAATGTTGAGTAAGCACAACTTCTCGCTGGTAAAGCTCCGTGCATACAATTCTTTCTTTGAATACAAGCAGTTCTTGACTTACAGATGTAATGGAGCCTGGAATTTCCATTCTAAGTCATGGCGGTTCTACGTCAAGGCACCCATATATCTGACCTGATATTGCGACCTTTCTTGCAAAAGTCATAAAGTGAGTCCATTCATTCCTACAGACATTTTCTTTTGCCAGAGACTAGCTGAAAACCAGCAAAAAAAAGTTGTAAATGACAGTCACACTATAAAGACCAACAATGTTTTCAGTCTCTCCCACAACTGTCTGCCCAGATTATTCATGCTTTCGTTTTTAAGAACAAATACTGTATTCCAACCTTCAGTCTTTTGACATCTTCACGGTTTTTTTCCAAATAAATCACCCAACATCCCGTGATATTTGGAACAGTCATTAATTTGAGTTTGGGGAGGTGGCGGGGGGCCCTGCTTTCCCCAGACCCTATTTCACCAATCCTGCAATATACAACTCACTGTAATTTATTGCCGATAGTCTAATGCCTTGATGGCATTAAACATTCATTGATAATAGCTGCTGCTCCCTGTTTATGAGGTTGCCTTAGGGAAGAGGGCCACAGCAGACTGAAGGAGCAAATACTTTAGATATATAACACTGAACTCCTTCTTATCTCCTGCTTAGAAAGGATCTGAGATAGAAGAACTGGAAAGTTTTCCCATGAGGTCTTGGTGAGTTACTGGCACACCTGAATGAGGAATATCTCCTGAAAGAATCCAATGGCTTGAAGTTTCTGAGTCCTATGAGCAGCCTGACCCACGAGAGAACTAGACTTTATTGTCACTTGTTCTGCATAAAAACTATGGAATAGAGAAGAAGGTGGTAGGATGGCTGGGAGAATGGATATGGCTTTGTTGTTTGTGCCCGGTGAATCGCTGCCTACATCTCAAGACAATTGACCTGGAATTGGACATTTGAAGGAAGATTCTGGGCTGATCCATTGGACCAAGGACCCTGTGATTTTCAGCATGTGTACCATGATAAGAGGGACTTAGGCCCTTGAACCTGTTGCAAAGAAATTACTTTATCCCTAGCTGCAAGATCGGATACCCTATGATAGTGGGTGTTTGGGCATGAAAAGTTGAGCAGGCTACATTTGTATACCACTTTATCTTATTTATCACAGTGCAATTAAAAGCAAACAAAACCTTTGCATTTTTGTAATAACATGCAGCTCAAAACAAATTCAAATTTTAATTGTGCTTCCTGACAAACTTACTAATCCAAAAACAGATGTTCACCATTGCCCTATCCTCTTAATCAACAGCTGCCCTTAATCCAAAAACAGATGTTCACCCTTGCCCTATCCTCTCACAAAACAGCTGCATAAGGCTTTAGGTGATCATCCTAACCCACCTTACAAGGTTGTTGATGACAAAAATGCATAATGTATTGGAAATGTATTGCACATCCAAGCCCACTTATTCAAGCATTTTTATCGCTATACAGTACAGTAGTGGAAATTTCAAGGAGAGGCTTTACAGACAATCTGCTTCTTTTGGATTGAAATGGTGACAGTAATACAAATTTCAAAGACATTATGGATGGACTGGTGCACACGCACGCACACAAACTCACTCTTAGACAGAGAGGTAGACAAACATAAATAAGTAAAGAAGCTGCAACGAAGGTTGAAAGCCCAGCGTTCAATTCTACCTATGGATATAGGCTGCATTTTTTTTCTGGCCTTGAAGACAGTGTTCATCCTTGGGGTATTTTAAACTTCTGAAGTTCACATTTTATTCCCTCGTGGCAAAGAAGACTTAGGAATTCTTCTCCTGTTCAATGGATTGGCGAGAGACAAAGGTCAACAGGAGCCTGTGTCTTCTGCAACCTTTCGCCCCAGAAAGAAGAGATTTTAAGTGGTCTCTGTGGGATAAGCAACAGCCATGCAGTTTCTGAAGCATCTTCATATTAAACTTGTAGCAGAGGAGAAGAAAAACACACTATTTGGGGTGCTTGCAATAGGAAAAAGAAGGAAGAGTTGTCCAGTTCTTGAGAGTCACTTTAAATTCCTTAGAAGTTTCTGTTTCTGTTATTTCTTTTCTAACAGTAGAAAAAGGGCAAGAATTTTATAGTAAGCAAAAATGGGATTCCTTATACGGCCATTAACTTATGGAACTGTGAAGCGCTACCAAATTATTCTTGAAAGACAGGTAGTCCTCAACTTACAATAATTCCTTTAGTGACCATTTGAAGTTAAGAAAACACTGAAAAAAAGGATCTGGGCTAAATGAAAGGTATCAATCTTGTTACACGGTCCTTGATTCTAACTTATGGAAAATGAAGTTGCAAGACATGAATCCCTAAAGTAATGGTCTCTTCTCCAATATAGTTCTGGAATTATCGGTTAACTACTGTTAATTCATAGCTCGAATTGTTATGGTTTATATCCAAGCAAAAAAGATTGATTAGAGCGCTGGTGGTTAGAATGCAGGATTGCAGGCTAATTCTGCCGACTGCCAGCAGTTCGAGTCTCACTTTCTCAAAGTTGACTCAGCCTTCCATCCTTCCAAGGTCGGTAAAATGAGGAGCCAGATTGTTGGGGACAACAGGCTGATTTTGTAAACTGCTTAAAGAGGGCTGCAAAGCACTGTGAAGAGGTATATAAGTCTAAGTGCTATTAGGTGCCACGTTTTTTTTTTAAAAAAAAATCAATGAAAACACTAAGAAACACTGGACACAGGTGAATCCTTATTGCTTACATTAAGTTTTGAATATACGCTCCCTGCATATAGGAACTGATTGGGATGGAATAGAGAGAAGAAACATTGTCCAGAAACCAGACCTAAAAACGGCTGGATTTTCAATGCAAATATAACGGTTCACATACCATTCTTGATTGCTTGGCTGGTGGAAAAACACAGCTTGTACTCCTAAATGTATCTTCCAAGTCACAAGCATGCACTTGTAGAGTGATCAGTAACTCTGCTGTCTGTGGAGAAGAATGAAAGCTTTCTTTTAAAAAAAAGTAAACAAACAACAAATCTATACCCAGGAGCCCAAGAAGGCACACGCAAACATCTAAAAAGAGTTTGGGGAAGATGCGAATCTGATAAAATATACAGCAAATGCACCTACATCAGTTCCAACATTAAGGACTTAAGCCAGAACTGAAGTGGCATGGAAGGAGGTCCAAAAAGAGAAACAGAATTTACCTTTTTAGATACTTTCTCTCCAAGATTTAAGGCTACCCAAAGATTTATTTCGATTGAATGGCCAACATGTTCAAGTGGAATTCATTTAACCTCTGAATTATGCTGTTAGTAGGGCACTCTACAAGGCTAAATAGTATACAGAAATGTATGTTGAAGGTTCAAATGTATACTAAAATAGTTACTAAATATTTAAATGCAAATTTCAGTTTTGAAAATTAAAAAAAAAAAAATCAGCGAGGGAACAGGATTTGAGAAACATGAAATTAATAGGGACACAAAAGTTTAACCTGCTCCTCCCCAGTCCAATCTCCCAAAGAGTTGGGAGATGAGATTGTCCCAACTGGAGGGGAACAAGAGATCGAGGTAGGCAGCCATACTAGTGTCTTCATATTCCAAGCTTGGATCTAAGCCAAAAAAGCATCTTCCACTTAAGAAAAAGGCATAAGCAGATTCAGAAGACTCCCCAAGTGTTCAAAAACGTTAACACCACTGAAAAATTAAAAGGGAAGGGGCCTAAATAACATAATAAAAGTAGTCCTCGACTTACAAAAGTTCATTTAGTGACCGTTCAACATTACAACGGCAATTAAGATACGTTTTAATTAGAAAATATATTTTAAGCTGATATTATTGATACTATTAGAAAACTGTAACAAAGATGCTGATATTCAACTGCATATTTATTAACAACAATAAGAATTGTATTTGCTTAGTGTGGGAAAATGTCTGTTCCCGGAGGAAGAGAAGATGTATTGAAGGGTGCAATATTGGATTTAGTTTGAAGAAGCTTATACGTACCACTGAATTACTAATGGACCCAGTCAACACGTTGTCTGTTAAGTACTTGATTGTAAAAATAGAAAATTAATAAAATATTTATTTTTTAAAAAGTTACAACGGCACTGAAAAAAATGACTTGTGAGCATTTTTCACACTGACGACCACTGTAGCCTCCCCAGGATCACGTGATCAAAATTCAGACGCTTGGCAACTGGTTCATATTTATGACGGTTGCAGTGCCCGGGGTCATGTGATCCCCTTTTGTGACCTTCTTACAATCAAAAAGAATGGGAAAGACAGATTCGCTTAACAACTGACCTACTAATCTAACAACTGTAGTGATTTATTTAACAATTGTGGCAAAAGAACCATAAAATAGGGCAAAATTCACTTAACCGCAGAAATGTTGGGCTCAGAGGTGATCGTAAGTCAGGGACTACCTGTACATATTGACCAGCAATGATTACTTTGGGGGAAAGTAGAAATAATACTTCCTGGAAGACAATATTCCTGACCTTCTAAAGAAGAATACTGCCACTATAATATCCTATTAAATGTCAAATGGAAACATGGCACTGCGTTCAAAATAAGGAGCATCTGGTAAGGCTATTTAAAAAAAAAGCTCTGTTAAGTTAGCTGAAAAACAGTTATTTATTAGAGTATTTGCATACTCTAGCCACCGAATAACAGCAGAACATGAATTTTGAAGTGTGCACTATGTTTTAATTACTTGTTCTGATTTGTTCCAAATCCCCACAAATTATTTTACTTTGGAATACTTGTAAAAATAACAAGATTAGAATCCTAAGACTTATTCTCTTCCTCGGCAGCTATTCATTAGAAATTCAATTACACAGGTTCACAAATTGGCACCTGAATTTATTTATGTTACTTTTAACCTGTTGAATTGCCTGGCTATTAGTTTATAAGTCTTGGGGAAGGCATTTGCGTGCATAGCTAACTTGGAAACAAAAGCTTGCTATCCCAACCTCAAAAAACGGCAATTGGCTTTACAATAACCAATAAATAAACAAAGGCTGGGATGACACTGGCTTTAGGAAGTAAATCCTATCTTTAGAATTATCTGCCTCAAGCGTGTTTAGTGAGCTGGGCCAACATTTGTTATCATTTCCATAGAATCACTGCATCATGAAATATAAATACGCTCTACAGTCAACCCATAGAAGGAGATGGATGGTTTAGATGACAAAAGTTGGCAGAGGGATCAAGTAGAGCTGAAATTTAGAGCTGAGGAAATTGCACAGTTTAAGTGCCTTCTTCTAAACTTGCTTCCAGCCAATGCTATCTCCCATCCTCCCGTACTTTTCTATGTATGCCACAACTGTCTTAACCCTCTTAAAAACATGCATTTATTACATAAACACCCATCCTTCCCTCCCATCATTTAACTGATTAATTAAATTAATACAAAGACGGTCTTGTTGAGAACTCCAATGTCTTTGCGTGCGCTCTCCTCCTCCTCCTCCTCCTCCTCCTCCTCCTCCTCCTCCTCCTTCTCCTTCTCTCCTCCCTCCCTCAAAGCCAGTCAGCCGAACAGGAAACAAAGAGTTTAATTCTGTCTGGTTTCATGAAGAGTTCTGTATGTCAGTAGCTGGAAATCAGCCAGTTCCTTGGACCAGCCACAACAGAGGTTGTTTGAGGGGAACTCTCCCTCCCAAAACTCCTGAGTTTTTTTGTTTTTTTTTAAAAAAAGATAAATAAATAAATATTTGGAGCAAGCACAACATCAGCAAAAAGAAAAGCAGCTTGTGAACCAGCTCCAAATACCAGCTCAGCGGGGAACTGGCGAAGTGAAATATCAAACCTGAAAGACAAACAAACAAATGCAGAAGCAAAGTGTGGCGGATGGAAGAATGAGGATTAATCTGAGATCAATATGGTATCTGCCACTTATCTGGTGAGGCGAGGGGGTTTGGCTAAAGCACAACACCTTCCCTTATTCAAGGAGAAGCAAAAAATTCTAATTTGCTGTGCTCCTGGAGGGCCTGGCTTAAGCTATTAAACTGACAAATAATGTCCAACAGAATTCTCCTTCTCTGTTTGCTATTCCTGTCCCCCCACCCCCCAATCCAGCCCCAGCCGAGTTAAACCAGACATTTGTTTCAGAGGCTTGGCACTGCTCACAACATACCTCTGCATCATCGAGGTTATTTGTGGAACAAAGGTGAGGTGTGCATTTGAGGAGGTGCAAATTATTAATGCAACGATAAGAATTAAGACTTCTTGAATTTACCGGAGACAGGAAAATGACCCTATTTGAGATGAATTTTTTCCCTGCTAAAAAGAAGATTAGATAGAAAAAAACTCATCTGCACCCAATACTGTATTGTCAATGAATATAAAACACACATATAACTCCTCAAATGTGTGTGCGCGCACACGCACACACAGAGGGGGGGGGGGAGAGAGAGAGAGAGAGAGAGAGAGAGAGAGAGAGAGAGAGAGAGAGAGAATACTCTGTTCTAAATTAAAACATGGGTCTATTTATTCTGTTCTATTTTACATCAACCATTGGAAGAACTGAAACATTAGGTCAGAGACAGATTGCCATGAAGAATATTTATGTGGTTGCTAAAAGTGTCGACAACTTGTTGGCATGTAATTAATCAATCAATTAATCAATCAATTTTACATGGGGCACTGAATCTGTGTTCCCCCAAAGTCCGTCAAAGTGTTGCCACTTAATTGTAGTCTCTTTTTTTAATGGATTGGTATTACATAGATAGTAATCATACGAAAATTAACTTGTTTACATAGAGTTAATGCATTTAAAATTCAATGAAGCTGGAGGAGGGGACCTCCTCTGTCGTGGGCCCATCCTCTGGAACAGCATCCCCCCCAGCAAGAAAAGGACAGCGTCTTCTCTCATAGGGGTCCAGAAAGCTTTCGAAACTTGGCATCTGTCCCAAGCCTGGGGTTAACATATTATTGTATATTTTGGGAAGAGGGCAGCTGTTTGGTTTGATTTGTGTTGCTTTTAAGGTTGTTTTAGTTTGGGCTGTCTATAATATGGTTTTATGTCTTAAGTGTTTTTATGGATTTTTTTTTTTTTTGGGTTTCCTACGCCCCACTGAATCCATTGGAGCTGGGCGGCTACAATAAATTGGAATAAATAAAGTGCCACTCCAATGTTAAATGGGGTCCTTAGCTTGGCAAAAAAACCCGTGCAACTCTTTTTTTTATACCATTCTCGCCCACAACTTGGTGCTTTTCCTGTGGGCCAGACTTCAACTCCAAGCAAGTACAGGAGTTCTCAGTGTAAGACTGTCATTGAATCCAGAATTTCAGCCAGAAATTCTGGTGGTGGTTAAGACAGGGCCACGACTGATTTTACAACCTTTTTTAAAGCAGTCGTTAAGTCAATGCCACGGTCATTAAACGAGGCCCTTTTTTCAATGGTTTTTTTTTTCCTAAACTGGGAATCCAAATGCCAAAAATTATGGACTTAGGGGACAGCGCAAATGGCTGTAAGTGCGAGGCAACTGCAAAGCGTCCAAAATACGATCGTGTCTTTGGGGGGAACAGGTCAGTCATCGGAACTCAGAACTCGGGTCATAAGTAGCTCTGGGGAACGCCACTGTAACTTTGAACAGACACTAAGCGAGCAGTCGTTAAGCGAGAACTACATGTATGGAATGGTTGAGATTAGGGAAGTCTTAAATTCTGGCCTGCAGAATTTATTTGTTCTTGGGAAGAAGTGTTTCTCATACACTTTTCTGCAGATGAAATGGCTTTTTTCATCTGTAAAGTATTCTATCACAGAACAATAGTTGGTTTTTTTTTTGTAGCAGTGATTCTAAGATGAAGTAACCAGGAAGAAGCATTTCATTCACTGTTTAACAACCTTGATTAATTGGTGGGGGGGGGGGAACCAACATTTTTTTTCCTACTTCGGATAAGAGCTTGTCTTGAAAATTTCTATAACAGTTTAACCAGCAGGAGCTGCAACAGATTGCAAGATTATCTTGAGAAGTCA